TCAAGCTTGAGGCACGTTAATTCGGCTATGGAGTGTGTGTGTGTGTATGTGTGTGTGTGTGTGTGTGTGTGTGCGTGCGGCATGGTGCTGCAGCAGCTGCTGGTGGGGACACACACAAAGAAAATTCAGGTCACGCGCCCTGCCAGTCCTACCTTGATCGTTGAGCAATTGATTCTCGAGCTCCTCGGCACCAAACATATTGAGCAGCTCCGTGTAGTTGAGGATGTCCATTGCCTTCTCCTTGTCCAAATAGAACTCGGCCGTGTGGCCCAGCTGCGTGTAATAGAGGTTTTAAATATTAACCAGAACATCATCAATATATGATGATCTCCCCCCTCCTGGCCTTGGCCCAGAGACAATTTAAAATGACCGCCAGTTGGCACTGTTCCCAGTTCTATTAATGTGTCAGCAAAGGTATTTCCGATCCAATTAGGGGGATAGCTCGGATCACTTACCTTGTCCAGTGCCTTGGCATTGCCACCCAGCTGTGACAGCAAGTTGTAGAAGTGGCCGTTGTCCTTAATTGTGGCTGCATAGTGGAGCGGCGTGCGTCCGTCATTATCCGTAATTGCCATGGTCTCCGGAAAACGCGAAGCCAGGTACCGAACGATGTCTGGGAAAGAGCAAGGGCAGTGAGGGGTACTCCAAGGGGTTAGGGGACGGTGTCCCACCCACCTGTGTGTCCAAAGAGCACGGCCACGTGCAGCGCTGTGGAGCCATTCGGGGATATGTCGTCCTTTGCAATGGCAAACTTCCGGCGATCCAGTGCCTGCTGCAGCGCCAACAAACTGCCATCACGTGCCGCATCATGCACGCGATGTATTTTCTCCTGTCAGAACAGGAACCAGGCAGTAATTAGTGGCTACTCCCTCCGGCCTCACCCACTTCCTGCCCACTTACCATATAGCTGGGCACGTTGTTGAGAAAGGCTTGGATCTCCGGCTCCTTGGACTTGAGCTTCAACAGACTGGCGCCCTCGCCATTCAGCACAATCTCCGCCAGCTGCTCCAGGTCCCCAGACTCGACGATCTGCCGCATGCGTGACTCCTGCGAATGGAAAGGAGAAGCCTAAGAACATCATCGAAAGATTCAGACACTCCATGCAGTGCATAAATCGAAAGCGTGAGAGTTATGGATAGAAGTTACAATGCAAATGTTAGGCAACACAAAAGAAAAGCTAGGCGAGAGCGCAACAGAGATAGAGAGATAGAGAGAGAGAAAGCATTTGATAGATAGGAAAAGGATAGCATCATCGTATACTTCATCAATTGCAGTTTGAGACTGAACTGTATAATCCTCGGGTGCGCCCTGCACAAAGCCCTCGATGGCCATGGCTGAGGTCAGCGAATCGTTGCCATCCTCATCGGGTCGCGTTTCCGTTTCCGTTTCCGTTTCCCTTTCCTTTTCCGCTTCCAGCTGCTGACTGGTGTCCTTTGCCGCTATCACATCCTGCACAAAGGGGTTTTTCAGTGTTTTTTACTCTGTCGTCTTGCGTTTATGGCTAAAAAGTGCAACTGACACACACACACACACACACACACACGAAAACAGAGCACAAACAGGTGGACAGGATACAGAGAGCACACAAAAAACGGGTGAACACGAGGACTACCATTGGTAGAAGGACCAAGTGCCATGCCACTACGAACAGAGTGAACAATGCCAGCGCTGTTGTGTGAAATTTCCATCAGCAAATGAAAATCTACAGCGAGTAAGGTTACGCATACGCCCAGTGTTTTCACTCCCGCATTAGTTTTATTGAATTTCAAGCTCCAACCTCTGGGGGAAAAGCTCTAACAAATGGCTGGGTGGGTGGACTGCAGCGAAACGTTGCAACAACTGGAACTTATATCACATATCATGTGAGTATATCTCTAATGCCTGCAAACAGCAAATGCTTTGACGTTTGCATGTTCCTCTGCCATTTGAGCTCTGGCTCTGACAGTTGAGCTCTGGCTTTGGGGCGCTGAGGCTGGCTCCACATGTCGGCCTCAGGGAGTGGGTGGGTGAGCATTATTATAAATCCTATCTGTGGGTAAACAGCTGCTGATGTACGGCAATCGATAGTGCCGCAAAGAGAAACAAAAAAAACGGGGGCAGGGCAGACACTGGCATTGATTTGATCTAAGGAACAAACTGTGGCTGGTTGGATGGTACACAAAATGAATTGAAAACTGAAAGTGAAGAGGGAAAACGGAAACACAATACTCATAGGTTTACATATATTATATTTTTGGACTGTGCGGGTGTGCGGGTGTTTTGGTGGGGTGCAATGGAAACGATAAGCAAAAGACACAAGTTGCAGGTTTTTGCATTACAATTTTTAATTGGTTTTAGTTATCGGTTGTACGGTTTATATATATATAATATAATATAATATAATATATATAACTAAAGGGTATATTTAGGGGTATTTGTAGGGTATAGCTGAATAAACAATTATCATATTATGTAAGCTGATTCATTCTCGGAGCTGCTGCCTCCTGCTGTTGTTTGCGCTGCTGCTCTTTGTTTGTTGTTAAACAATTAGAATACATGGAATTGTTGCGGGGTGCCTGCTGCAGTTGCTGGATTGATTACAGTTCACATATTTGCAGTGTTTTTGAGTTTTTTGAGCGGTTGAACGGGCACACAGTACGTATACGTGACAAGAACTACAGAACCGTACACCTACAGCACGCCAAAGTGTACCTCGTCATCGTCTTCATCGTTATCATCAATCTGCTCTACATTATCCTGCTCCTCAGCCTCCGCTTCGGGCTGCTCCTCCTGCGGCTCGTTGATCTTTTCTGTCTCTTCCACTGCTTCCGTCTCTGGCCGCGCCTCTTCAGTCTTTTCGTTAACCTCCGGCTCACTCTCTGTGGCAGGCTGCTCCTCCGTCTGCTCTGCGACAGTTTGCTCCTCCTGTGGTTGCTCCTCCTGCTGCTCTCCACCCTGGCCATCTACAGCTCTTGCAATATTCTGTAAAAGTAAACAATTGTCGACTGATTGCTCTCCGAGTGATTCAAGGGTTTCAATTCAGGATCTCAGCCTCTGGTTTCTTTTGTATTTACAGCGTAGGAGGACTAAGTAGAGGTCGAAAGAGAAAGCGGTGTGACGGGTGGAAAGCCTAGAGCCGACAATGGCTTACTTTCACAGAGCCCACCCATGCCCCGCAGCGCCCCGACACGCCCCTTGTCTACCCGCCAAAGCGAAATCCAAGTGCAACACAGAGAAAGCTCTTGGGGGGAGAGGGTGGGTTAGAGGGGGGGGTTGTGTGTGCAAGCAGGACACAAAATGGAAAAGCAAAACGAAAGACTCGAACCGCAAGCAAAAAAAGGCAAAGACTTACCTCCGCTTCAGGCTCTGGCTCTTCGGTGACTGCGACTTCCCCTTCGACTTCGACTTCGACTTCCCCTTCGATGTCATCGCCATCGCCATTGATGTGGCCATTGTTGAATGTGGCCGGCGTTTCCGGTCTGCGCTGCAATGGCGCCACTTCCACTTCCGCCTCCGCCTCCGCCTCGGCCTCATCCACATCCACATCCAAGTCTGCCTTGGACAAATCTTCTTCCTCATCGTTGGCACTTGTACTGCGATTTCAAAATGCAAAAGATTTTCTCTCAAAGCCATGCCCCAAAACACAAACGAAACAACAACAAAAACTGAATGCAGCGCAGCCAAAAACTTAGCCTAAGTTCCCCCCCGACGACCATGCCACAACCTCTTGCCCCACTCACCCATCGTTTGTGTCCAGCTCCGAGGTGTTCTCGATGCTGTCATCCAGAGACTTGCGCCCGTTCAGAGTTGGGACTTGGGGCTTCATTTCCAATTTCTGCAAGAGCAAAGGCATAGACTGATGGCTGCTGTGGGAAGTCCCTAAGTGTGGCTTACCTTCTCAAGAGCAGCGTCGCCACCGTTCTCGTCGCTCAAGGCCCCCCAATCGGTGATGCTCTCCGGGGAGACGCGCGGCGCCTCCGGCACATAGACGAGAAAGGCGCGTTCGATTTCGTGCGGCTTGTGGCGATAGTACGAAGGTGTCTTCATTTTCTGCAAGTGCCCCAACCCACACCGCATGAATCATTCCAATTAATTTTCTCTCCATCCCGCACTTACATAATCCAGCGCCTCCTCGTCACAGCCCGCCTGGGTGAGCAGCGTGTAGCAGCGCATATTATTTTTGGCACTGGCTGCCCAGTGGAGCGGCGTCTTGCCGGTGATGTCCATCTCGTGGGCGCCCTCCGGCCAGAGGCCAACCAAATACTCCAAGATCTTGGTGTGGCCCAGCCCGGCGGCCTTGTGTATGACATTCAGGCCATTGCCATCGCGGCAGGTCACCAGAGCGGCGGACACGGGTGGCTCCAGCTGTGCCTGCACCGTCTCCAGACTGTTGTCGATCACCGCCTGATGCAGATCCCTAATGGCATTCTGTGGAGGCAAAACAGGAGTGGGAGTGGTGTGGATTGCTCGGAGGATTACTCACCATAACATGCGGCACGGCGGCGAGGAACCGCTTGACACGCCCATTGTTGCTGGCCTGCTGGCACAGGCGATGTCCTTGGCCCGCCCACAGAATGCGCGTCAGCTTGCCAATGTCCTTTTCGTGCATCCAGATGCGAATGGTGGATAGCTTCACCGAGAAATCTATTAGCCAAAAAAAGGAATTCATTTCACTAGAGTGTGCCCCTGTCCCCTGTCCCTGTCCCTTCATTTGCACTTTGGTTCGTGTTTGCATGCAATTTGGCCCCAAAAAAACTGCAAACTGAAAACTGAATTAAAAGCGAATACGAAAATAAAATGCAATGCCAATAAATGCTCGAGTTTTGTGCACTCGCCCTCGCCAGTTGGCTTAAAACTCAAGACAATTTCCGCTGGCGGAAAGTTCCTTTTTTTTTGCCAACTTGAAATGCGCCAAGGTCAGAGTCGGCGGAGAACTTTTTTAAGTGGAAAGTGGAAGGCAACGCCCAGGAGTCGTGTCTTACAAGTACTGCCACGAATGAGTGAGTGTATGAATGAATCATTGATACAGCCCGATGGGAGAAAGTGACATCTGGACAGGAAGGAGGATCCCCCCAAGCAAGCCCCTGGAATAACTCACCGTCATTGCTGCGCCGCTTGCTGCCATTGAGGCCGCCCGCTTGTCCGTTCATTGGCATAACTGCAAAGGATAACCCAATTATTCAGTTAAATTATTCAAATATAAATATAGTTTATGGTTTATGGTTTATGGTTTATGTGTTCCATTTGGCATTGCCTACTCTCTGCTCTGAGCCCAAACTTTCCTTTTTTTTTGCTCGTATTTTTTTTTTTTTTTGCGTCTGGCCCGCTTGAGCCGCGTTGGCAAACTAACTCCTGTGGCACGTTGTGAGGTGTTGAATTTGGGAGCCATTCGCTTGTGTTGTGGTCAAGGAAAGTGCCAGAGCCCGGGAGCGAAAGAGTGGCTCGGTATTTAATTGCGTCCTGTTCGCGCTCCTTCAACGTGTCTGCCATGAATAAATAACCTTTCGGTCTCCTCTGTGCCGGTCGTGTACTAAGCAAACACTTTCATTAGCCCCCGTCGATGTGCTGGCCGAAAGTACTAAACAAATAGCAGCTAGCAGCTAGCAGCTAGGAGCATGTGGAAATGCTTTGTCAGACACAGGGAAATTCTTCGAAAATTCTCATTGAAAACTTCAGCCAGTTCCCTTGAGTCTTGAGTCTCCCCCTTGGAGCATACATTTCTGATGTCTCAAGGTCTCGCCAGTCCCCAGTCCTCAGTCTATTCTTGGACTGTTACTCCCACACTTGAGTAACGTTCCTTGAACACTTTTGTGACATGTAAATTAGCTGAATGGAATGAATCATTAGCTGTGGGGGTCCTGCTGCCTGCCACATACATTCTAAGCAATAAAAACTGCCACGGAAATGGCGCATTAGTGTTTGCCACTTTATGTGGCACTCAACGCCTCTGCTGTACACCTGGTACTTGTTGAGCTGACACTCTTTTATGGCACGCAATATGCAAATTTTGGCCAGGACTCCTGCTCCTTTCCCTGCCTCCTGCTGCTGCGTGTTGTCACCTCAATTATGAGTAACAAATTTGAAAGTTTGTTCGTTGTAGCAACTCACCTTTGGGTGGCGATGAATGGTAATAAAGGCCATGGAATCTTCTCCGTCGCTTCGGCGGCATTGCCGAATATTTTTTGAATATTTTTTCTGCTCTCTGTCTGGGGTCCGCAGCAGCAAGCACACTTAGAGTCCGCGACTCTTCACATTGCCCCAATCGCGTTTCATTTAGCACTCACGAAGACACTCACGTAGACACTCACTTCACGCACTTGGCACTTGGCACTGGGAAAAAGGCTGTGGAAAACCCCGACTTAGATCGCAGAGCGCTGCAGCGACTGACCGTTCTCCTGGCAGGTTCAACGACGTCTGAGTTGACAAATGCACACGCTCCCCAGATGGTCAGTTGTGGTCCTAGCCTAGTCCTGGTCTACGCCTTCCCTTGCGTGTGTGCATAGCCAATGAGTTGGGGGGGAGTACTGGCGATATCTGATTTTTATTATTCAGGTTTTTTTGTTATTTATTTAGTCTACCAAAATCATGCACTGCGTTGCATTCGGGACGTTCTGCAATCCTGCACGCGGCATGGAGGAAAACCCAAATGGAAAAGCAATGAAAACAAACCAATTAGCCCCTGGAATCGATTTTGTGATTTTTCCGGCAGGACGGGGAGGCGGCTGACACGAGTATTATTGAAATTGGAGCAGTGAATGGGGAATGGGGAATGGGGAATTTATGAACGTAAAAACATGCCGCATAGGTCACAGAGTCCTGCCCCAAGGTCCCGGCGACCGCCTACACCAAGGAGGAGGAAGCGGCCTCTGCCCTGCGAGGATGAGTAATTCGAATATCTGCCATGGCGTGCGGTCAAATTTTGAAGACCCACTTGACACAGTTTCCCCAGAGACAGAAAGAAGTGCGTGCGGTACCCTGAAGGTGTTTCCCACACTCCCTACACCTGCAAAACGGAACGTTTGACCCAATTTTGGATTGGTTTTCCCTGGGGCTCAACGTAAATGTCACTGACAATTAGTTCAAACCGCTTCTAATTAGAATTTATGGCAAGCATTCACTTTGATTGCACTTCCGCGACTGTCAGCATTAAGGATCTTGGCATTCATTATTCATTCAGGGGGGGGACTACGTGCTGCATTGACTGTGGCAAGGGTGCATTGAACTTGACCCTGCCAGTGGTCAGTGCAGGCACCCAAGAGCCCCACTCACTCGAAGCACTTGTATTTTGCATACACTTTCCGCTCTGCTCTTTCCACTTTCCACTTCCGATTGGCCACTTGCCGCTTTTCCGCTAATCCGTTTTGCTGTTATTTCTTTTTTTTTTTTGTGTTTTTTGATTCCGTTGAGTTCCGTTCTTATTGCCGACGCCGCGCGCTTGCCCTGCAGACTGCGGCATATTCAGCGTTTCGTAGGTGTTTTATCTAATTTCTTGTCACACGCACACCAACGAGCATTTCATTTCATTCACTTTCACTCTCTCTCTCTCACTCTCTCTCTCTTGCTGTAGTTGTGGGTGGGCATTGGTATCGAGTATTGGTAATTGCTGCCATCGCTTGCATGCGAACGCCGAAATAAAACCAAAACGAAACCGAAGCCGAAACCTAAACCGAAACCGAAGGGAACTCAACTCAACTCTCTGGGAGTGGGAGTGGGAGTGGCTGGCACCGAAACCCTCATCCAATAGGGAAAGCAAAGAATGGGCAGGAAGAATGGCTTACAAATATTTGTGGGCTAAAAAGTAATTCGTTTATTTATTTCTCAGGCAGTTTCGCAGACAGCCTCAAGATCTAAGGATACATCATAGATCATAGATCTAAGCTTAAAGGATACAGGATAAGGGGGTGCAGGGCCATCAGCTCTTGCTACTCAGTTCGTCTGCAGAGACGTGTATGGGTTGATTGAGTTCGATGTGGTCCGATGAGGCAGCTGAGGCGAGGGAGTCAGAGATAGTAATAGAGAGCAAGTGGAATGGCTAGGTGTCAAGCACTCACCATCTAGATGCGCTCTTTCAAGGTGATTTAAGGCAAATGGAGACTCCAGCTGCATGCTTCGCTTCCGTCTAGGGGAATCCTCCACCTGGCGACGGTTACGCAGCAGCGCCAGACTTATGTGAGACTTCTGCAGCGGCAGCTGATCCTCGCCAAACTCCACGCACTTGCCGTAGACACAAAAGCGCTGACCCGCCTGGGAGCAGCGTGTGCCCAGCGGAAAGTGTCCGTTCTTGCCGTTCACCAGGTAATACCGGTACTTGATGAACTCATCCTGGCAGCCAACGCGACAGCTGCGATCCGGCTCCTCCAGGCTGGCCGAGATCTGCGCCCCTCGACCCGAGAGTCCGCGCACCTTGAGCCTGTAGCTGGCGCAGGTCTGCTCCGCGTACTCCGCTGCCGTCTGCAGGCGCTCGCAGGGCTTGACGCGATCCGTGCACAGCTGGAAGGTTTCCTCCCGCGTGAGTCGCGACCTCACTGCCTGTATGCCCTTCGAGTCGGTTATGCAGTTGGAGTGGCAGCCCGACTTGATCTCCCACTCGGACTCTGTCGAGGAGGAGCTGCGATCAATGGCGATCAGCGAGGCAGAGGCGGGTGGTGGGACTATCCTCTGTGGCTGCTCCTCTCTGGGTAGATACTTGTGGTAGGACTCGTAGATACTCGACTTGCGATTGTGCGGCTGCTGCTGCTGCTGCTGCTGCTGCTGTGGTCTGATGTGGTTATCCTGGCCATAAAAGCTGCGCACAGCGACTTCTACACGGAGAGAGGAAGAGACAGAAAATCAGAGAAAGTTCAGAGCGGGGAGGGAAGCTTTTTCTTACCATTTTCATAGCGATTTCTGGGTGGCGTTACTCCCTCCTGCTTTTCCGTATAGCGCTTGTGTGTCGCCTGCTGCTGCTGTCGGCTCTCCTCCTCGGCCGAGTCCCTGGCTCTCGCCTGGCAGAAAGTCTGATCCATTTTGTAGAAATTCTGCGTGGAATTGTCACAAGAGAAGCGCTCGCAACGGCCCGAAATGCAGTAGGCAACGTCCTCGGGGCTGTGATGCTTAGTCCTGCAGGTGGTGCCATCGGGAAAGGTCCAGCGACGCGACTTGGTCGAGTTGCTCTTGGTGCGGCAGAAAACCTTGCACGAGTCCTCAAAGGTGGAGCTCACCTGCTGCCCATCGCCCGTGAGCTCTCCGTCCAGCTTCTTGGCCTGCATGCAGACCTGCGTGGCGAAGTTGTCGATCGTCTGGACGGGCACGCTGTAGCACTTCTTGGCGATGCAGCTCTCAAAGCGCCGATCCTGGCCCATGCAACGCTTCCGATAGTTCAGGCAACTTCGGTTGAAGACGCGCAGTCCGGTGCTGCCCTCACGCAGTCGGTTCGATGGTCCATACAGGCAGTACGAGTCGCATTTTCCCGCCTCACCCCAAGCGCTCCAGTTGGTTGACTGCTCATTGCTCGACTGCTTGGGCTGCTCGCTCAGCAGTGGTCCAATCCTGTTGGACTCCATGAAGCTGGCCTTCTCGTAGCTCGTCGGCTTGTGCGGCCACGGGCGGTAGGAGGCCAAGGCGGTCTCTGGCGAGTAGCGTGACACACAAGAGCCACCGCGACACCACTGAAGGAAGAACAGAGGCATGAGTTTGGTCTACCAGTGGGATCTCCCATCCAGCTCTTACCATTTTCTCGCCGCATTCGGTGCCCTCCAGGGCCGGATGTGAGGTCAAGGACTGCCCATCCTGCTGACAGTGCAGATCCCGGCAGATCTCCGCTTTGCTCTGTATGTTTGAGCGCTTAAAAGTCTTGCCAAAGCGCAGCATGCACTGCTGGTTGGCATCGAAGCGTTCTCCAGGCGGGATGCCACCCGCGGCATGGTCCAAATTATCCAGAAATTGTCCTCGATCAAAGAGGCACGTGGCCTGGGGACCTCTGCAAGCAAAGTACAATCAAACTACATCGGAATTTCGCTCCAAGTCAAAACTGCAGCACTTACTGCAGAAAGTTCTCCAGAGAGGTGCGGGAACACTTGGACCACGTGACCTTGCCACTGCCCAGCTTTGGAGACATGATGTGCATGGTGGGATCGCAGCTGTTTTCCTTGGTGTCATGCCGCATGCCCAGGCTGCAAAAAGGATTTCGATTAGATAAGGGAATCACCGCAGAGGGGGGAGTGGTTAGTCACTTGTGTCCAATTTCGTGGGCCACCACAAAGACGCTCTCAAAGTGCTTCGCCTCGTTGATCGTGCAGGAGGAGACTTTCGTGCACATCCCAGACACTGGAGCCAGTCCTACCACCTCACTATTGGCCTTGCCGTCCTTCGTGATGGTGCGCAGATCGAGGCCCGTCAGGATGAGCGCATGATCGTAGTGCAGCCGGTGAGAGTCCGATAGGGGATTCTGCTTCTCCTGCCAAATGCAGAATCTGTTCAGGTAGTCATCCACATCGCTGGAACGCACCAGGTCGACGGGATTCCACGACTTCCAAATCTCCAGCCGCTTCAGCACAAAGTTGATGCGCCGCCCGAGCGTCGGATGATGGTAGAGCAGCTGCACCCCATTGATCATGGCCAGCACGAAGCTGATAATTTTGCTCTCCGTGTTCGCAGGGAAATTCCGCTGCATGTGCGTGAATAGATCTCGGTCGACGAAGATGGCCGTCTCGATGTACAGCTCCTTGGGCACGGACCAGTACCCTGGCGGCGATCCAATGAAGCGGCGACTTCTCCGATGCTTCTGATGATGTTTCCTCTTTTGGTTCTCCACTTGGCTTTTGTCTGACTGATGATGATGTCGCGGCTGAAAGCGCAGTCTCAGCGGGGACTGCGACTGTGTCTGCACTCGCAGTCTCGGCTTTGGTTCGTTGAATTCCTCTACATCGGGCTCGAACTGCAGCTGACTGTCTAACGGATCCAAGCGCGCCTGGTAGATCACATGGTTGCCCACACCAAAGCGTGCGGGTAACGGATGCAGCACAAAGTCGCTGGCATTCTGCTGGAACACGCCACGCTGCGAAAAGAGAGTAAACGAGCCGTGAGGTTATGTCTGGCTCTCTTCTCCCTTTTTTTTTTTCTCTCTTGTACTCACCGCACTGCCCGTTTCGCATAGATCCAGCGCCGCTGCTGGACTTCTGTAGAAGCAATTTTCAAGACGCTTCAGCAACTGCGGCGAATGCTCCACAAACTGCGTCCCATTGGCGGTGCGACGAATGAAGATGAAGGCATCGTCAATCAGCTGTGGGGCTTGCTGCAGTTGCAGTCTAGCCTCCAGTTCGTCTCCTTTCCCTTCCCCTTCCCCTGCTTCATCTGAGCGATTGGCGTCTGTCGAATGCATTTGAATTAATTAAACTTCTCGCATAATGACCGCAACTGGAGCAGCACGAGCAGCAACGAGCAGATCGCGAGCTCTGCAGCTGTTTCCATGTGCGATGTGCGATTTGCGATTTGCGATGTGGGATGCACTTTTATTTGCTTTTTCGGTTTATTTACGATTCTCTCACCTTGCGGCAGTGGCATGCTGCGTTTATGGCGTCGTTTGGACATGTTCTCCTCCGCCTCCTTCTGCTCCAGCTGCACCAGCTTGAAATTTGGCGCTGAAATACATGAATCAATACAAAAACAACTGCGCAGAAATCCACGACCCCCCAAGGTCCACGCCACAACACACCCCACCTGGCTGCAACGCAGACTGTGGATTGTGGAACGTGGACTGCAAACTGTGGACTATGGACTGCAGACTGTTTACTGCCGACTGTAGTTCAAGTTTACCATTATTCATCGATTGCACTTTGTTTTATTTGGGCTATGTCCGAGTTAATCACATGTTACAGTGCCTCAAAACTGTCAGTGGGTTATGGGTAATGTTACGCTCCCTGAAAGCTGTCTCTTGGGTTATGTTACTGCCTGTAGGTTTATGGGTTACGCTCCCTCAAAACTGTCAGCTGCCATCGGGCTGCCATCAGCGATGTGGGTCATAGTTAAGAATCTTTTCATTCTACTTGGCCTTAGGAACTAACTTAAGTAACAGCCAGCACTTACCCTCATCGGTGGTTCTTTGTGTGCCAAAGATCAGGGCACGCTCATGATCCATCAAGTGCGCCAGCAGCGAGCTCTCATCCAGCTGCGGCGGAGCAGAGACAGCAGGCAGCAGACAGCGGCAGAGTGCAAGCAGCAGGTAGAAGGAGGAGGATGGAGCAAAAAGAAAGGAGAACGAAAGAGCAATGAAAAAATGTTTAATATGCAAAGCGGAAAGTGTAACAAAAAGCAACAAACCGTAAAAATATTTCCCCGAAAAAAAAAACACAGAGCAAAGGGTAAAGGTTTGTTTGAGACTTCTCCCTTAGTTCCCTCCCCCCGTAAAATACTTTCACTTAGACAATGGAAAATTGGTAGCAAAAGACTAAAAGAAAAGCCCCAATTAGACACTTCCAACAACAGCTGTTCGTTGGGGTCATCACATCAGGCGGACAGTACGTAAAATTGTTGGTGCAACAGTTGGAGATGGAAGTACTCCTAACCGTCCAAAAAGTTGGTCTATATCTTTCCCAGATGTGTGTGCTTGGTGTGTGTGTGCGATGCGTGTGCGATTATTTAATTTAATTTGTTGTAACAGTTTTCATTTGGTTTTTATTCGGATTTTATTGTGGAAAAGCGCGCTGCGCTGCCTGGCGGAGCGTGAAGAGCGTTTCGGGTTTTCGGTTTGAATTGAAACTCCGCCTACGGCAGCACAGCAGCAGCAGCAGCAGCAGCAGCAGCACAGAGCAGCAGCGAGGAGGAAGAGAAGGTGTTACAAATTGTTGTTGTCTGCTGCTGGCTAATGTTTATAATCAACATTGTAATGCTGTGCGAAAGAGGCGTGGCTGCCTTGCTAAATAGCTTATGATTTTTCGAGCAAAGAGCTTGCGAGGCAATTTTTGCAGGGAGAAATTAACGAGGAAACAAATTATAGAAAAACACTTAAATCTCATGGATTATCCTTTATCCCTTTATGCCCTTTCTAGTTCCTGCCTCTGGGCCAGCTCTTACCTCACTTGCTGGCCAATTGTGTTGCCTGAACTTTATCAAAGACAAACAATGTTCAATGAAATGGACACTAATTGGCTGCAAGGGCAACCCAACAGCATAATAGGCCCCGGAATCAGCATCAAAGAGCGGGCGATGCCAGCGCCATTTCAGATTGGAAAAAGCCGGAAAAGCCCAAAGCCAGCAACAATACATGTACCAGTTGACAGACAGTGGAAAGAGTGGAAAATGCATTCCCTCATGGAGCTCATGGAGCTCATGGTGCTCATGGAGTAATCGCGCCCAAACAAACTGATTATGTGATGAAATTTTGCGTGACCCACAGCGAGAATGGGCAAAAAGTACAGAAAAAGGCAAACGGAAAAGCGGAAAGCGGGAAAAATAGCGAAAACTAGAAACAAACAAATGTAAATTATATCATAGAAAATTGTCTTGACAAACAATTTCGCAGCAAAGGCAAAGGAAGAGCTGTACAGAGAGTGCGAGGAGGAATGATCACATAATCATGGGCCATAACCAAGCAAAAGGTTCTCAAGTGCGACCAGAGATACACAAACATATGTACATAGTACATAGTACTTATGTATCTTAGTGTCTTATGTACATAAAAGGGTCAACAACTTGACTGGACTAGTTTTTTCTCGCTGCTCTTAATTTCATTTTGGCAAATTATCTGAGTGAGAGAATTCCTTGCGGCCGCCAGACAGCTGCAACTGCCGAATGGGCGGCCAGCTGCTGTGGCGATTATCCCAGACTCTGGATTCCCGGTAATCATGTGATGTGCTGTGATGCATTCCAGCAGCCGTTCTGGAACTTAAAGTATGGGGCAGATGTGGGGTTGCTCGCGACATGTGTAATTGGACAAGTTGTCGCAATTTTTTTGGGCTGCTTTTTGGGTTTGCCGTTGTCTCCAATTACCAAAACATTTCCAACGACCAATTGGGCAGAGGTCATTAAACGCCTTGCTTCGGGTTACACCTCCATTTCCCCCTCTTTTATGCTTAGCTCTGCCAAAACGTCTCGTTGAGTCAGAGTCGGGGAATATTGAACACTCTTTCGCAGGGGGTAAACCACTTCTTTTTGCTGCTTTTAGAGACGTTTTCAAAGATCTCTTGGCTACCAAATTGTAGAGCTTAAGTATCCAGAAGGTAGAGTATCTACACACTGCACTTCACTCCCCATTTCATGTTTCAATTTTATGCCTTTAATGTTCTGTCTATGTGGCAGTTTTTTTGTTGTTCTTTGTTGTTTGATCACCTGTTCAGGTTATATGGGTTAATCGTATGATGTATCGTACGACAATGTAGACAATGACAATGTACGTATAGAAAATATTGATATCAATCACGACGACTCACCTCAATGCCATTCCACTGCAAGCTCCTCTTGCGACGCAGCTCAATGTGGACAGAGGAGGAGTGGGACTGGGACTGGGACTGGGACTCGGACTGCGACTCCGATGATGGGTAGTTGTGGGGGCAAACGGTTGCGATTAGCAGCCACAAGGTGGCCAGAGCAATTAAGATCCAACGCTGATAGACCCATTGACGATTAGATGCCATTGCTGAGACAGTCCAAACGATGCGTTGATGATGACAACAAAGTAATGAGCGCCCGCCGTCCTGAGCCGTACTCTGAGTGTGGCACTAATCGCTCTATTGTTGGTGCAACACTAGCAGCCAGCCGATTGTTGCACAAATTGCATATACAAATGCACAAATAATATTCCTGGTTGTCTTGCAGTCCAATTTCATAATTTGAATCGCTTGGAGTTACACATTTTCCTGGCTCTGCGCGGGCGAAAATTTCGAATGGTTTTCTTGAAAGAGAAAAGTGAAGGCGCTTTAGTCGCGGTTGCTGCTGCCTCTCCAACTTTTACGGCTGTTTAATTTAACTTTTTATGCACTAATTAATTGGCAAGGCATTGCATTACCCTCTCGCTCGCAGCTCAGTGGGCCAGACTTGGCTCTTACTTTGTTACTCTTATTTACTTAGTTTGTTTCCTGAGTTCTTTGTGAAGTGCTGGCCACTCCGGATAAAGCCAGAGAGACCTCGCTGGAAGGTCCTACTTCTGCTCGAGCATCAATAGTATTATCGGTGGAGCACGTTCTGTAGTGCCAGTCTTTTGTTTTCACATTTAAACGCATTTATTTTGATTTAAACGCCACCAGGCAGCGGCACAATTAAGCACAGACACACACAGAAGTCTCATATGTTGTTCAATGTTGGTCTCTGAAGCATAACGCTGATGTTTTGATTTGTATTTGTTAGTTTATTTTATTGGTCATTTTTCATACGCAAATCACAGGCGTTTATCAACAAATTTGGACGGAGGTCAATGGATGATCAGCCAGCACAGCATGAAGGATTTACCGTACTGTAGGGGCAGCGAGCGAGCTTTCTGTGAGTGAGTTACGAGTGATACGAGACGAGAGAGCCCCAACCGACCTTCCGCGACGGCTCCACTTTTGCGAATGAAAATGTTCACAGAGCGCGCAAAACATGATGGGACAGGCACGATCATGAATCTTTTGCGCTGTTCGGATTATTTTTCGCTGCTGTTGTTCCTCGTTCTCGCACACACCCACACACACTCGCACACACACAGCGAAGTATGCTAATGAGCCAAAGCGCCGGAAGAAGTGTAGAAGACCGTTAAGAAAAAGCAAAGGGCCACAAGAACTGGCAACAAAAGCAAAACAAAGAGTCCGAAAAAAGAGCAGCGGCAATTGTTTTGTGGTCAAGTGCTTGAAAATGATGGAGCAGACGAAAACTTGACACTGATCATCACAGCAACAGGTCGTTGGATGGCAAAAAAACAGGCAAAAGAATTATGCTGCATTTCCGCCAACGGAGCTTTGATGTTGTACAGGAAATCTTAAATCAGCGAATGCAAATGCAGAGAAGCATACGGAGATAACGAAGCAGCAAACAAACAATCGGACAAGACGCCAATTGAAGTGATCAGCATATCGGCTTTTAATTGGTGCAATCAATGGATGCTGATGCAACTGCCACAGTGGCAATGATAAATCACAGGCTGTCACAAGCCCCCGCACAAGACTTCAATAAAAACGATGACTAAATTAACAAGCATACAAGGGAGACGCGCATTCTTATCATTGACCGGGCGTTAAATTCAAATTTGAATTCGATAGTCTGTCGTCGGGTGGGGTAACACTACGAAGATGGGTAACATATTCAGTAGAAACATCGATTTGAAGATCATACATTAATAAATTCATCTTTTATACATTTTGTGGTTTCCAATATTTCTTTATTGATTGTGATTCATTGTATGTAAATATAATCAATAAACAATAGTGCTTATTAATCGTTCCATCTTCATCGTTTCGATTAATTCGATTGCGGTACAATGCGATGCGAGTATATTTTGAGTATGTGTAACATTCACATACTGAAGGCAAATACCAAACAAATTAATATTCAAAAATACAAAATAAAAAGGCGCCAAAAGTTCCCTCCTCATTTGAATATGTTATTTATTTAGATTAATTATTTTAAAAAATTCATCATGGAGGATCAGTTTACCTTGCACACCTGGAATTTTTTGTGACGTTTTTACCTGTTGTCAACGCAATAGTTTTAGCTCCCTTGCTTCCTTTAATGAAAGAGGCAAATACATATGTTGTAAAATATAAGGCCATAATGTATAAATGCTTAATTGGTTCTTCAATTAGATTAAACTATTGTTTCAGTGTTAAAAGTCTTTGCAAGATAGTAAAATCAAAGAGAACATCAGAATCGAGGAATATGATTTAAGACTACGGTATATTTAAGGTATATTTTGAAGATGCAATGGTGTGTTTAGGTATATTTACGTATGATGGTATATTTTATCGATAATTTCGCTATCACATTGACTGGCACTTTCAAATTCAAAAAGGAAAAGTGTAAAATGTAAGGTCGTAAGGTAAACAATTCAATAAAAGGAGTATTTATAAGACGCTAAATTGGTCCTTCAATCGGTTTAAATTATTGTGTCAGTGTCAAAAGTTTTTGCAAGTTAGTAATATCAAAAGAAACATCGAAAGAGAGGAATATGATTTAAGACTGCGTTATATTTACGGTATATTCTTAAAATTACAGGGTATATTTTTGAGGGTATATTTCCGATAATTCCGTGGTCACACTAGCCCTTTCAAATTCAAACAGCAAAATTATCTTGGCTTCGCATCGTGCGGCAGAGTTCGACTCTTGAAAAAACTCAGTAACTTAGTCGCTTTCGATTTAAAAATTGTAAATTTCATCACATTATATTAACGAACCCCATCGGAATCAACTTTTACATAAAATCGCTGACTCAAAACAAGCTGCGAAACGAATTCAAATCAACGCGCTAACAAGACCAAGAGAAAAGATAACTAAAGCGTCGCTTCGTGTGTGTTAATTGTATATTTGTTAAACAAACTAAACCCAATCAAAATGGTCGGCACAACATTGAAAATGCGCGGGGATGAGGTAAGTTGTCTAATGTTTAATAATTTTCATAGGGAGATGATAGAAAAGGGCCGATAGCGACGCAGGGACGCCATTGCTGCATCGGCAACCAATATCAAAAGGGAATGAGGGAAGAGAGAGAGTGCGTGCGCGAGAGTGTGTGAGTGTGCAGAGCGATCGTGTGAGAGAGGGAGGGTGAGAATGTTCCGTTTGTCAATCGCTTTGTTGTTTTTTCCATGCTGCCGGCGGGTGCATTTTGGCGCACTTTTGCAATTGCGGTACATTTACAGCTAGTTATCACGCTCTAGTCTTACCCACTAAATCTCGGTGATATTGCGGTTCTTTGCAAGATGGCCGCCATCCAATGCATTTGTGTAAAATAACTTTGTTTTTGTAGAACGCCATGGAGAATATGAACCAAGTGCAACTGAAGAAATTGACAGTGCCTACAAATGAGGCAACCACAAAACGTGCTGCTCTGGGCGATCTGCAGAACCGCGGCCTGAACCGCGCCATTGCCGCCAAAGATGTGGCCCAGAAAGAGTAAGTGCAGCACCCAGTCCAGTTCCGTTCGATGGTGACCTCTTGCTTATTGCGGATCGCTTCGCTTCTCCTTGCAGATTGAAGGAATCGAAGCTGCCGAATGTGTTGCGCAACGCCAAGGCCCGCGTGGACACGCACTGGAAGAAGCAGCCCCTGGGCGCCAGCAATGTGAATGGCGCAGTGCAGGCCAAGCCCGCTCAGGGTGGAGTTGCGGGACTGTTGCGCTCCAACTCTGTGCGCACCCTTGCCGCTCCCTCGGCTGTGCTCAACCGCCAGGTCTCAGCCAGCACCCTGACCCGTGGCGACAAGGCGGCCGCCGAGGCGACCACCAAGCGTAAGTACCGATTGCCCATCAAGACCAAGCCCCTATCCCAATACCGAACAGTTGCAGTCAAGCCAAAGCCGGAGGCTGCGCCTGAGCCCTCATTGCGCCGCGAGGACAGCAATCTGTCCAAGAAATCCCTGACCAAGCTGCGTGCTGCATTGGGCAAGCCAGTGATGGGTGTGGCCGGCCTGAAGAAGGAGCTCGTGGCCGTGCACAAGAAGGAGCCATTGGCGGCCAGCAAGAAGGATGTCCTCAGTCTGCTCAGGAGCGATAGCAGCGCCAGTAGTGCCACCATTCAGCCTGCCATGTCGTTGTCCAGCAAGCGATTGGCCGGCATCGAGGACATCGACGCCAACGACAAGGAGAACCTCGTGCTCGTCTCGGAGTATGTGAACGACATCTACGACTATCTGTACAAGGTGGAAATCGAGCAACCGATCCACCCAGATCACCTGGCCGGACAGAAGGAGGTCTCCCACAAGATGCGCGCCGTGCTGATCGACTGGATCAACGAGGTGCACTTGCAGTTCCATCTGGCTGCCGAGACCTTCCAGCTGGCCGTGGCCATTATCGATCGCTATCTGCAGGTGGTCAAGAATACGAAGCGCAGCAATCTGCAGCTGGTGGGTGTGACGGCCCTCTTCATTGCCACCAAATACGAGGAGCTGTTCCCGCCGGCCGTCAACGACTTTGTCTTCATCACCGACGACACCTACTCGGCCCGCGAGATCCGCATGATGGAGCTGCAGATCTTCAAGGCCATCGATTGTAATCTGTCGCGTCCGCTGCCAATTCACTTCCTGCGGCGCTACTCAAAGGCCGCCGGGGCAGAGGATGAGCACCATGCCATGTCCAAGTATTTTGTGGAACTGGCAACGGTCGACTACGACTTGGCTAGCTACAAGCCATCAGAGGTGGGTTCCAGACACTAATAGACAGACTCCAATGTAATAATCGTGATGTTTTGGATGTTGCTTTCAGATTGCGGCAGCCTCGCTGTTCCTGTCGCTGCACTTGCTCAATGGCAACTATCGGGCCAGCACTGGCTTCAACGACAAGCACTGGACCCCGACGCTGGCCTACTACTCTCGCTACTCGGCCGCGCACCTGCGGCCCATCACTCGACAGATCGCCAAATTGGCGCGTGATGCACCGCAGGCCAAGCTGAAGGCCATCCACAACAAGTATCAGGCCAACAAGTTCCAGAAGATCGCACTCAGAAGCGAGCTGAGCGGCCCCCTTCTGGACTCCATTGTGGGCCAGAGCCTGAAGAAGTAGTCTGGGCCCACTTCACATCCACATCCCACACAAAATCCCACCCCAAATATTTAGTTTAGTTTAATTTGTTTTCATTTTTAAATTTGTAGCATAGTCCTTTAATTTCGTTTGCGTTCGTTTGCACGTTTCGTGTTTCGTTATAAGTTTGTGTAATACCCGGAAATCCAAGTCCGCATTCAATCATAAAGGAAAATCGTAGAAAATCAAGGTCGGGTAATATCTCTGCTGTGCGTAACGCGTTTGTGTCATGGCCGCCCCGATGCGATCAACGACAAAGGCATTCTTCACTTGATTATGGTTAGAGAGGTTGTGGTTCCTCCACCTGAGTGTGGGGGATCTTGAACCGGAACTGGAACTCCTGCTCCTCCCCCTAAGGGCACACCCGTAGAGTGAGAGAGAGTGGACGAGCACAAACCGCAATACACAAGGACACTGAGAGCCAGGTGTGTGAGTGGGCAACGAGTACATTTGCTGGCTGAACATATCGGCGTTGTCTCTCAAAGTACATAACCATATTATTAGATATATTATACCCATGAGCAAGACTATTTTTATCAATCAATTGTATTAGAGTTAAAATTTAACTGGAAACGGTTCGTTCAATGCATTAAGAATAAATCCCAAAAATGTGCAAAAATATTCTATTCTCCTAAATCCCGAGATTAGACTTTATAAACTATGTAGGTATAATATGTAAATGTAAAGGATTTCGCACGACTCAACTAATTTAATTGTATAATTTAAGCAAGGCAAATATTTGATTCATATTGACACAACTGTTTCCAGCTAATATCGTGGCAAATAAAGTTTTGTATTGTGTAATTTTTAAAAACGAATCAATTGTTGGAGCTCCATGTGACATGTACCTAAATACGTACATACATACATATGTATGTTCGAGACCGGCAGCGGCAGCTGATTTCAACTGTGAGAACAAAATCTCAGGCAGTAGCTAGACAGACCAGACCCTTTTCATTGTCCCGGCTTATCAATCCTCCTGAATACACACACTGTGTTAGGAGGGAAACAGAGGTGGAAAGGTCACCTTCCCGATCGCAGGTCAGTTTTTCGTCTTCTGCTTTCGCCTCCTTCTGCCAAACGCTTCATTTCTTATTTCGTCGCTGGCTGTGTCGTTCCATTGGAAACGGTAATTGCCCAAGCACATTGCTCGCACGTGTGCCTATGTATGTGCATGTGTGTCTGCTCGGGGTGTCTCTGTGTGCGTGGGTCTCTTCATGCGCTTCCAGACCGTACCGTACCGTTCCGTTAACCACTTGCTGGCTTTGCTGTGCGCCTGTTCGAAATTTAAGTTTGACGGTTTTATGGCTCTCATTAATTTCGACACTTTTACGGTCAAACAAATGCAATAAAAAGAAAGTAGACCCCGTCTGACCGCGGGGGAAACCATGGCACCCAAGCAAACTTGTGAAGAGAAACACACAAAGAGAGCGCAAGAGGGGATGTGTTATATGTATATGTGTGTGAGTGTGAGTGTGAGTGTGTGTAGGCCTGACAGCGTAATTTGTTCTTGCCATTATTTGGCCCTGACTCTGCCTTTGCTCATATTTTATTTTGGATGCCCATGCCCCCGCCGTGTCATAAAAAACTTCAGTTTGTATAAATTTCAGGGTTCGTTTGGGTTTCTGGACGGGCACAGGCGCTTAGGTTTCCTTGCTCTCGATTCTGGCTAGCTGGTATAGAAATATGCAGAGCCTGAACCACCACTGAGCCACTGGCACTACTCCTGACAACAGTTCGTCCAGTCCTTGCCTCAGGTAACTCACAAGGGGTGGCGACAAGGCCGGGGGTCAGCTCTGAGGGAGGTTGTGCAAAAGGGCAGAGAAAATCTTTTGACAAGGCAAGAGCAGCTGCTGATTGATCAGCTGAGAGCGGAGTTTTGTTGGACATCGCTCATGTAATCTCTATGGGTGCTCATCATATTCTTAGCTTGACAAAAGGTTGCATAGGCGATAAACCTTAAGTAAGTCGGTAAGAAAATTCCGAGTTCTTGACGGCTTTAAAATATCCATTCGTATGGGATAATCCTTTGATCTAATGCCAAACGAAGGGCTTAATTCCAAGAGCTTGCGTAAGGTTCAGGACTCTTCATGTACTGTCCATACAAAACTGCTCAAAAATGAAGATTTTATCCGTGTTCCTAAACAGCAGTTTTGGCTACGAGAAACAATCAATTAAAAGGTTAAAAATATCTATCTTAAAATAATAAAAGTAAATATAACTCCTTGGATGGTTTCTTCGTTTAGAGTATAATTTAGTATCGTTTTTATTTCATCATCGTTTCACAATCATCCACAGACAGTATTCGACTATTCTCGATTACAATATTTCAAATATTGATTACACACATTTTTTGGAGTAGAAGAACAATGCAGGATTATCAATATCATTATCAATTTTGGTTGGAGGAACCACACGGATGTCGCTGAAATTCGAAACTGGATTCGGCCATTCCGTGCCCCGTCCCACCGCCTTCCGCCTGCTCTCTCTCTCTCCCAAGATTGGTGGCATTTTGGTGGCGTTGGACGGCGTGACGGGACACGGAGCTGGCACGGAAACGCAGGAAAACATGAATGCGCCAAAGGATTTTCTTTTGTTTTTGTATAATTTTGTGTTTATCTTATGTTGTAATGTTGTAGGCTTCTTTCTTTATGATGTTATTCGGCGCGCGGCAATGGGCAGCATTGAAATTGGTAGGGGACTTTCGACTTAGACAATATTCTACTTTATTGATCTTGCATTTAGGGTAATCTCTGCGCCGCATCTAAGATGTTACACCGCGCGGTGTAAACTGCTGACTGACGTTGCAATTTAACCCTGGAAGGTGGCCAAGAACTTGGAAACAATATCCTTCAGCTTGGCATCGGTGGCGTCAGAGATGGCGCCCTCCTTGGCAATGGTGTCGAGCAGACCCTGCTCGCTGGTCTTCATCAGCTGCAAGAACTCCTTCTCGAAGTTGGTGATCTTGGAGGGATCCATCTTGTCCAAGTGTCCGCGCACACCGCAGTAGATGACGGCAACCTGCAGAGGAAGTAGAGTTTAGGGACACATAGCAGGGGGTGCATCAAGGGATTACGCACCTGATCCTCAATGGCCATGGGCACAT